GGGGGGGGGGGGGGGGATGAGGAGAAGAGGGAGGCCGTGTAATAGTGTTAGGATATCTTCATTTTAAGACAGTCTGAAAGATGTGGTTTTCTTATTCAGACAGTGTCTTAGGGTGTCCCCACAGTGTGAGCTGGGAACCGCATTAGCCTTAACTGCTTGTAAGCACGAAGACGTTGCTTAGGATGAAATAAGAGCTTGTTGGAAGGGTATAAGCGTCGCATCAAATGTCTCGTGGGGGGGGGGGTGTCTCATATTCTGTGGGAAGAGCGGTTGGGGAAATCTGGGAGAATTGAAAGATTCTTCACTTCACCTCCCAGTAAGGGTTGATGTGTCTGCAGCGTTTCTCTCGGAGATGTGGAGAGCTGCCTGTGTGTCTGTAAAATCTGCTGTATGGGAACCGTAAAGGTAACGGGCTAGGGATAGGGCGTGAACGGGTTATTAAAAGGGTGGTAGTGATCTCATAGGAATATTAAATTAGGCGAATCTTTATGGAATACCTACTGTCTGTTACAGTGGGGGACACAAAGTGGACACGACCTGCAGCACGGAGTGGTGGAAAGAGCTCTTTTTTGAAGCCAGGCAAACCAGAGGCTCCATAAACCCTGGAATTGGCTAGCAGTGTGACGGCTAAGCTATTAACTCTCAACAGTACTTTTCTATCAGTAAAATGGGAATAACACCACCTGTTTACCTCTCCGGTTGGTTGTCAAAACAGATTAAATGAGATAATGTATGCAAAATGCCTAGCACCTTTCAAGGTTCTGAGGTGTTAGCAAATGTTGTTTCCTTTCTTCCCTAGCCTACTGCTCTTGGGATTTTCCTGGGGGTAAGGTGAGGGAAGAAGTTAAGGTAGGTAATTGTAATGCAACACATTACATATTTAAAATGCTGGAGTAAAGTTACAAAATAGGCGAGCAAAGAGGAGAGATTAATTCTAGATTGGGAGCACAGAAGCTGAGGGATTTAAGTGGAACCTTTAAGAATGGGTAGGATTAAAAAAAGAAGAAGAAGGGGTAGGATTTCAACTGATGTAGATGGGGAGGACATTCCAAGCAGAGGTGGTACTATCCTTTGAGAGCCCAGTTGAGGAGTAAGACCAATGGAGGAAGGGCAAAATAGAGATACTCAAAAGCTTTTTAGCTCTTGTTGAGCCTGACCTTCAAAGATTGTCTCTGTTATTTTGCTTTTTGTGTTGTGAATTTCCCAGAAACCAGATCTAGCCCTATTCAAGTACGTACCAAAATGTCTACAAAGCTTTAATACATGATTTTTTTGGGTTAGACATTTTGTGTTATTTGGACTGCCGCTCTCTTCTGTTTGAATTTAATAAATAATTATTTGTAGATGTCTCCTCATGATGAATATTAGCTCTATTTGGTAGGAAAAAGCAGCTGATTTTTCAGATTCAGAGGTCTCATTAAGATTATATAGTAAGTAACTGGCCAAAAGAAGTGATGTAGTGTGCCTCAAACTCTGGTTTAATTTAAAACTCTGATATAATTTGTTTTCACTAATATTTTAACACATTATTCTCCGAAGAGGTGTTTTTAACCACGTCTTTGAGGATAATTAGAATGACTTTTGGTTTTGCTATCCTTTGGTTTTCATAATGACTGTATTTTCTAGATTAGCATGGTGGGGTGCACCTGGGTGGCACAGTTAAGTGTTGGACTCTTGATTTCTGTTCAGGTCATGATCGTAGGGTCATGAGATCGGGCTCCACGCTGGGCATGGAGCCTGCTTAAGATTCTCTCTCTCCCTCTCCCCTCTCTAAAAAAAAAAAATAATAACAAAAAAATAAAGATTAGCATGGTGGATGATTTCACACTATTCATAGATTCTATAGACTCTCATGGCTTTGCCTCGGTTCTGAAGTAGTTCAGTGTCAGCATTAGTATTGTTAATCCCAAACTCTTAGGAAAATTGATATTAGCAAAACAAGATATGTGACCTCAGGCAAATCTCTTATCTTGGATTCCCAATTCCTTTACCTGTAAAATGAGAAATTGGGATTAGATCGCTGGTTTTCAGTGTGTGTTTTACTGAACTCTGGAATTTTGAGGAGGAGCTTCAAGGTTCTGTAGAAGTTTCACTTAAATCTCATTGAAAAGGTATTGTGACTACTAAATGACATGCCTTGTTTTAAATGCTTTACATGTAAAATTTATTTAATTCTTGCCATAATTCTATGAAGTAGGTTGTGTTACTGTCTGAGCAGACAGGCACAGACTACAGAGCTGTAAAGTGACATAGTTGGGTTTGAAGCCAGGCAGCATAATTCTTAAGCTTGTATTCTTACGCACATTTTTATACTGCCACCATAATAAAATAAATAGCACACACACTTCTTTTATTGTAAAATATACAACATGAAATTTACCATTTTAATCATTTTTAAGTGCACATTTCAGTGGTATTAAGTACATTCACAAAGTTGTGCAACCATCATCACTATCTTCAGAACTTTTTCATCATTCCAAACTGAAATTACTCATTAAATAATTCTGCACCGCCTCCCCCTCTAGCCCCTGGTAATCACTTTTCTACTTCCTGTTTTTATAAATTTGACTATTCTAGACTTCATATAAGTGGAATCGTGCAATATTTATTCTTTGGTATTTGGCTATTTCACTTAGCATAGTGTCTTCAAAGTTCATCCACGTTGTAGCATGAATCAGAATTTCATTCCTTTTTTAAGGCTGAATAATATTTTATTGTGTGTATAAACGACAATTTGTTTATCTGTAGATGTTTGCTGTTTCCACCTTTTGGCTATTACAAATAATTGCTGCTCTGAACATTGTCCTACACATACCTGTTTGAGTCCCTGCGTTCAGTTCTTTTGGGTATATACCCCGAAGTGGAATTGCTGGATCATACGGTAATTCCGTTTGATTTCTGAGGAACTGCCGTACTGTTTTCCACAGCAGATGCAGCGTTTAACACTCCAGTAGCAATGCACAAGGGTTCCAGTTTCTCCACATCTTCAGAAACACCTTTATTTTCTGGATTTTATTTTGTTTTGTTTTATAATAGCCATCCTAATGAGTGTAAAGTGGCATCTCATTGTGGTTTTGATTTGCAGTTTTCTAATGATTAGTGATATTGAGCATTTTTTTCAAGTGCCTATTGACCATTTGATTTTGTTGTTGTTGTTGTTTTGGTAGAGTGTCTATCCAAGTCCTTTCCCATTTTTAAAATTAGGTGGTTTGTTTTTGTTGTTGTTGAGTTGTAGGAATTCCTTATATGTTCTGGATATTAAGTTCATATCAGATTCATGATATATAAATACTGTCTCCCATTTCCATGGGTTGCCCTTTTATTCTGTTGATGGTATCTTTTGATGTACAGAAATTTTTCATTTTAATGAAGTCCACTATATTTTTTCTTTTGCTGCTTATACTTTTGGTGCCATGTCCAAGAAATCATTGCCAAATCCAGTGTCATGAAGCTTTTCCCCTATGTTTTTTTCTAGAGTTTTAGTTTAATCTCTTATATTTAGGTCTTTAACCCATTTTGAGTTAATATTATGTATGGTGTTAGGTAAGGGTCCAGCTTCATCCTTTCACATGTGCATATTCAGTTAATCACCATTTGCTGAAAGGACTGTTCTTTCTCCAGTGAATGGTCTTGGCACCCTCGTGTACATATATAAAAAATTTTAGTTCAGAAGCATTTGGCATTGACGGGTATCTGTGTTGGTGTGGAAGTGACTCCACATAATGGGATTCAGGGTCTTTGCATTCGCTAGCAGGTTAAAATGCAAATCTTCATGAAGATCTTGACTGGCAAGATCATCGCCCTGGAGATGGAGCCTAGTGACACCATCAAAAATGTGAAGGCCAAGATCCAGGATAGGGAGGGCATTACCCTCTGCCACACACAACAGCAAAGGCTCATCTTTGGAGGCAAACAGCTGGAAGATGGCTGCCGCACTCTTTCTGATTT